CCATCCCCTGCGTGCTTTCACAGTGAGCAGCATTAACTACACAGAGCCGTTGTTCGCTGACGAGCTGCGCAAAAAATTGCGCGAATATGAACGTGGTTTTGCGCAACTCGTCAGTGAACAACGGCTCTGTGTAGTTAATGCTGCTCAATGTGAAAGCCCGCAGGTGATGGAGATTTACCGCTGATTACAGAACCGTCTTTACTGACAAGATGCGCATTAAATATCGCATGCGATTTATCGTGCAGCCCTACAACATTATAAAACAAACTTGTGCATGGTTACAACCTACACCCTCCTGTACCAGCATGCCCATGTAATACACAAGTATGTGCAAAAGAGAAACAGATGGAGAGAGAGGGAAAGAATTTAGCATCAGTACCTTCAATGAGCAACTCCTGACCATGACTGCCCAGCAGTGTGCGAGAGAGGAAAGGTGCAAAGTCCACAAAGATCTCCCTCAGTAATGGGGCCACCTTCTCCAGAGCTCGCTCCAGTTTAGTGGTGATACTGTGGGTAGACAAAGTAAATGCATTATAGAAGCTGAAAAAAAATATTTTGGCTCATTTCAAAACCATGAACTGTTACCATGAAATGTTACTTAACCAGTAATATGGCACACTAATACACCAAACCAATGCCTAATAACCAGCTGCAGATTGAACATCCTGGGCTCCGACAACAAACACACAAACAAGTACAACGCCAGCTCGCAGAAAAGAAAGAGAACTACATGTTCCCAACAGGAGTCCAACCCCACTAGAAAACAAGCATGTTAGTGGTTCTGGAAAACACACTGGAAGCTGTTCTTGCTTATGGCATTGGCCAGCTCCAGTACAGCCTGGGTTCCTGACAATAAGCAAAATAAATTGAGCGAAACCTTACACAAGCACCAAAACAGAGAAGCTGTGGTACAAAGACCAAACTTTACTGTTAATTTTTACTGTAATTTTTCAAGAGGCACTAACGCCAAATGATAGCTAACTTGTTAGAATTAATACATTTTTTATTGGAATTGTGAAAAAAGTACAAAACTTATACGGTATTAAGTTATTAAATAAAGTTAAATAAAGATCACACCTCATTTTATGAGTAATCTGTGCAGAAATGTAGGTATTTTCAAAAACTCATTTTTGTCCCTATGTATAAGGGCCCAATTTAATATTTGTCTACAAAACTCATTTTAAGAATTTAAGCACTTAGCTTTTTTTGTTTTGTTTTATTTTTAGATATTTTCAATCAAAATGGTTTTAAATCAAAAGGTTATTCAGGTATGATGCATAAAATCAGTCAAATGTGTCTAAAGGTTTGTAACAGTATGTATTGCATACACTAGTATTCATACTTTTTTGTTAGAATTTGCAATAAAAAAAACAGTCCATTATTTGATATATTGATTCAAACTCAATTTTACACATATCAAATACAAGTAGCTACCAGTACTTTCAGTACCAGCATATCTAGGTAGCACTTTATTTTAAGGTGTCCTTGTTACAAGTTACATGTACGTACTATTATAATAACAACAGTAAATTATGCATAATTACATGCAAGTAACCCTAAGCCAAATGCTGCTCAATGTGAAAGCCCGCAGGTGATGGAGATTTACCGCTGATTACAGAACCGTCTTTACTGACAAGATGCGCATTAAATATCGCATGCGATTTATCGTGCAGCCCTACAACATTATAAAACAAACTTGTGCATGGTTACAACCTACACCCTCCTGTACCAGCATGCCCATGTAATACACAAGTATGTGCAAAAGAGAAACAGATGGAGAGAGAGGGAAAGAATTTAGCATCAGTACCTTCAATGAGCAACTCCTGACCATGACTGCCCAGCAGTGTGCGAGAGAGGAAAGGTGCAAAGTCCACAAAGATCTCCCTCAGTAATGGGGCCACCTTCTCCAGAGCTCGCTCCAGTTTAGTGGTGATACTGTGGGTAGACAAAGTAAATGCATTATAGAAGCTGAAAAAAAATATTTTGGCTCATTTCAAAACCATGAACTGTTACCATGAAATGTTACTTAACCAGTAATATGGCACACTAATACACCAAACCAATGCCTAATAACCAGCTGCAGATTGAACATCCTGGGCTCCGACAACAAACACACAAACAAGTACAACGCCAGCTCGCAGAAAAGAAAGAGAACTACATGTTCCCAACAGGAGTCCAACCCCACTAGAAAACAAGCATGTTAGTGGTTCTGGAAAACACACTGGAAGCTGTTCTTGCTTATGGCATTGGCCAGCTCCAGTACAGCCTGGGTTCCTGACAATAAGCAAAATAAATTGAGCGAAACCTTACACAAGCACCAAAACAGAGAAGCTGTGGTACAAAGACCAAACTTTACTGTTAATTTTTACTGTAATTTTTCAAGAGGCACTAACGCCAAATGATAGCTAACTTGTTAGAATTAATACATTTTTTATTGGAATTGTGAAAAAAGTACAAAACTTATACGGTATTAAGTTATTAAATAAAGTTAAATAAAGATCACACCTCATTTTATGAGTAATCTGTGCAGAAATGTAGGTATTTTCAAAAACTCATTTTTGTCCCTATGTATAAGGGCCCAATTTAATATTTGTCTACAAAACTCATTTTAAGAATTTAAGCACTTAGCTTTTTTTGTTTTGTTTTATTTTTAGATATTTTCAATCAAAATGGTTTTAAATCAAAAGGTTATTCAGGTATGATGCATAAAATCAGTCAAATGTGTCTAAAGGTTTGTAACAGTATGTATTGCATACACTAGTATTCATACTTTTTTGTTAGAATTTGCAATAAAAAAAACAGTCCATTATTTGATATATTGATTCAAACTCAATTTTACACATATCAAATACAAGTAGCTACCAGTACTTTCAGTACCAGCATATCTAGGTAGCACTTTATTTTAAGGTGTCCTTGTTACAAGTTACATGTACGTACTATTATAATAACAACAGTAAATTATGCATAATTACATGCAAGTAACCCTAAGCCAAACCCTAACCATATAGTATAGTTAATTAATATTACTCAGTACTTAAATGTATTATTACACTGTAACAAGGACACAATATAAAGAGTAACCCACTTTTTTTTACAGTCCTGTTCCACATGTACATATTTTGTACGTATTATAACATTTAAAGTAACTGTATAATAACTAGGTACTGATGCTGAACCCCTAAACCTAACCTTAACCGATGTACTACCAGTACCTTTTGATAAGTACACTGTAAGTACATGTACTGTAAAATGAAGTGTAACCCATATTTACTATATTAGCATTAAAAAATATCGAGCAAAGTCAGTGTTTTGGGCCTTGGTAATCACAATAATAGCTTAAAACTGAGATACTGGGCAAAACTCCTAGGGATTTTGTTGCATAAGCATGCAAATTTCCTCGGGTTTGCTTGTCTTGGTTGCAAATCTGATGGAAATTAGATCTTAAGCTTTGAAAATACTGCGTTTCCTTTTTGGTGTGCTTATTGTGAAAAATTCAACACTAACGGCTATTGTGTGTCATGAAAGTAAGTGTGGAAAATAAGTGGGAAAACAAAATCAAGAAAAACTAATGAGACACATGCAGGCAGCGACAGTGACAGCGAAACCCATCTCTTGTCTCTCGGAGTGCGGGTTAGGCATCACAGCCTCTGCATCCAGACAGTTTCATCATTGACTTCACACTCCCGGTAAGTGCTGTCGGTTACCGCTGCCATGGCAACTGATTTGCGATTCCTGGCGTAGCAGAGGAGCCACAAAGAGTGTGTATATATGTGTGTGTGTGAGGTGTAGAGGCCCCCGGAGAGCACGAGAGAGAGAGAGCCGCACGCGCACACACTCGCTTTCTCCTGTGTAGTCAGACGGTGGCATGTCTGTGAGATGTCTGTCACAAAGCATTAGACGAGGTGAAAGGATGGAGCCAAGGTCAGCACGGTTTCCACACACTCCCCAAAACACCTACGCACACTGATTTCTCTGCATTAGCGCTCGCACAGCCCCGTCTGACAGCTCAAACACCCGCGGTGGCCAGTGAGAGAGAGGACAGGCGATATGTAAGGTGTGGGGTGTCTTGGTTGTCGCAACCACAACAATATAAAAAAGTAAAATGATTGTCGCCCATTGCCCTAAACAAAGGAAAGACACAATGTCTGTAAACATGAAAAAACAAGGTTTTGACCCCCTCTTGTGGCAGTGATAATAAAAACTCATGGCTGGGTGAACAAACACAAACGCATCTGATGAGGTGCAGACAGAGGAAATACTTCCCACTCACTGACAAGCTCAAATAAAGCAACACACCATTTAAGGGTGTGTTCTATCATATTAAAGGGGTATTGTGAGAAATAATATACACTGATTTCTGAAGGTTCAGATACACTGAAGACTGGAGTAACGGCTGCTGAAAATTCAGCTATGCCATCATAGGAACAAATTACATTTTAAAATATTAAAAATAGAAAACAATTATATTTCATCAAATACATGCAGCCTTAGTGAGCATTAGAGACTTTTCAAAAACATTTAAAAATATGTAATTATTCTAAACGAATAATCACTATAATAATTTCATATTATTGCTATTTTTAAATGGTGGCTACAGTATTATAAAACACTAACGTTCAATAAATAATTAAATGCATTATTAATAATTTAACAATTAATCTGCCAGGAAACATGGACTTCAGTGAAGGTAGATGTTATGTTTAATTTTATGCAAATTAAGCTGTGAGGGACTGACATATAAGTGCTAATGAGTTGCACTATTATACCTTTGTGTCAATTATTCAGCCATCAAAACATGAAAAATCATCTTTCCAGCGCAAACAAAATTCGATTTTGTTTTTTTGTTGTTTTTTTTTTAATTAGGGCCAAACCCTCATTTGGCAATAAAAAACTACTGTCAGGATTTGCTAAAAACACGTAGTGGGAAATTAGTGCTGAAAAGGTGCGGACAGTTATTTTTGTGACTTACCTTATTGAATATACATTTGTAGGTGTTTCCGTTTCGATCAGTAAATTTATGGGAGGAGAGTATTTAAATGAATCACGCAACGTGATTTACTAAGATTTGCGCTCGTCACTTCACTGGTATTTGTGGCATTATTTAACACCCAAAAAAGCATATCTTAAATCAGGCGGTAATTTCCGCTGGTCATTATGGAAATGAGAAGTTGCGTCTGTGTTCTTTAATGTGTACCTTGTCAGTAAATCATTTGCCCTGTTTAGTAAATCCGGCCCTTAGATGGTAACACTTTACAATAAAGTTCAATTTGTTAACATTAGTTAACTACATTAGTTAACTAAAGCATTCTAATGCATTTATTAATCTTAGTTAATGCTGATTACAACATTTTCTAATACATTATTAAAATGAACAGTTGTAGCTATTTAAATATAGTTAATGGACCTGAGCTAACATGGACTAACAATGAACAGTTTTATTGTTATTAACTAACGTTAACAAAGATTAATAGCCTAAATACTGTACTAAATGTACTGTTCATTGTTTGTTAATGTTAGTTAATGCATTAAATATAGTTAACAAATGCCACCTTATTGTAAAGTGTTACCAGGTTAAGATTTGAAAATCAGGACAATTTGGTTAATTGACAGGGATACAACAGCAATTATTAAGTCTCTTAATCAAAAATACATCACATAATATATATATATATATATACAGTATATATTATGTGATGTATTTTTGATACATATACACACACACTTATTGTTTTTTAAGTTTCTTATGCTCACCCAGGCTGCATTTATTCGATCAAAAATACATAACAAATATAACAAACAAATAAATAAACATCAAAAATAGGGGAAATTATAATGCACAATTAAATATTCATTATTGGTCAATGTATAATCAGTTTCTAAAAAATAAAAATAAACAAATAGTAAAAATAAATAATATTGTGCATCCCTAAGCTTAAAACAGAATAGCCCATCCTCACAGCCTTATTTTTATAAAATTACACATAAAGTTACATAAGGTGTGATATTTCGCAACATCTTCAAACACAGCTCATCCAACCATCCCATTTCAAAATAAACATCAAGCTGAATTTCTACCCAGCTGTCTGTCTTAGACCTCAACACACATCCTGGGACTCTGAATCACCTCATGTTCTCCATGGTGTCCTCAGGCATGGGGGCCACAGTCTGAACCGCAGGCAGATTCTTGCTGGTGGCTCCATTCACAAAGCTGGAGGAAGAGGAAGTGGATGCATCTGTGGCTCCTGTGACACAACAAGAAATCACAGGTTAGAAAAATCGACTAAATTAAGACGAAATGAAGTTTTCGGTTTAAAAGCTGACTTTAGAGGAAAATATAAATAAATTATAATTTTTAAAAAATAAATATTTCTAAATAAATAAACATTTCTCTCACACCTTCTTAGACATTGAAAACAACTCACGGTGCAGTTTTTCACTTTACATCCCCACCAACTGTCAACTAAACCTTCAGTTGCACTAAAATCAAATACTTTTTCTGTTTTTTCATCATGTAACAACATAACTACAGAGGCACAGACTCTGAGAAACATCCCCATTACTCTGGCCTCCCCCTGAGAAAGTGAAGCACCATCTTACATTCCTCTTATTTCTCTCTCTGTCAATGCCACAGTGTCCACAGTGCTCTGTGCAGCAGGGAGCTTCTGATAGATACATCACAGCAATGGACTGTCATCCTGTGAAACCACAAGCTGTCACAGGACATCTGAGGATGGGAAATCTATTACGCAGCCATCAATCGCCGTGTCAGAGATGAGTGTCCACCCATAAGCAAATACACCAAGATGGGGGGAAACGTCAAGAGGGACATTCTGATGGATTTCGCTGGATGCTTTTTTTAAAGATCATTATTTTGTGTATTTGGTGTAACAGAATATGTTGACATGCTTTAATGTTCAAAAAACACATTATTTTTCAAATACTGTACATTATTGTAGGTCCTCTATTCCCCCCCC